CCAAGTAAAATAAAAACAGATGTTTACTTACTTCATTTTTTAAACCACACTCTGTAGGAAAAAGATTAAAACTCTGTAAAAGAGGAATGTGAAACATTCCTAAAAAATTGAGTCAGACATTTAAAAACTAATACTCTGGGTATTAAATTTCACTTGCATAATATTAGATGGCAAGACGTCTCAGTTTCTCAATATTTGAATGCCTTCTGTTAGCAGCGTGCAAACGAAGACCAAGCGAAATGCCCAGTAGAGATTATCCCTTTACTGTGCTTCGAGCCATAGACCTATCCCAAAGGAGGTCAAACACCACATTGGTGGCCAGGGGAAAAGCTGTTCGCTGTTTGCATGCCTTGGGTGCTAAGCAGTAACACTAGACCAAATATACAAGGGAAAAAAACTCTCCAAAGGTTTTGAGAATTCTATGGGTCCAGATTTCCAACAATTTCTTTTCAAATTCTTCTACCTCCATTTGAAACACACATAAGCTTAAGGGGCTAACTGATGAGTAGGTGATCCTCTGCCTAATGGTTTTGCTAAATGTGTTCTGACCAGACAGCACATAGGGGTGTAGGGCTCGGATTTCTATGCTTAGTTTAATCCCCTAATTTGTCAATGTCATGTGTCTGACATCTTCCATTTCATACAGGAATACCAGTGTAACTGTTCATGCAACAACAATGGCTGAATACCTTATAACGTAAATGACATTTCAAATCACTAGGGGGGATAAAAAACCTGCTTGACATTGTTAAAAAAAAAAAAAAGTTCCAGGAAAAATTGCTAGAAAATTTCCAACATTTTCATGGAGTATAATATATCCACCTTTACAGAGAAAAAGATATGGGGCTGAAAAATCATACCACAGTGCACATAAATTAAAAAAAAAATGAAAAAGACATTACAGCACAGAATGAAATGAGCTTCAGTAAAAACTTATTCTTTAGATGGAGTGTTAGATGAAGAAATTCTGCACACGTCAAGATAGCTTATTTTGCTAACTTGAATCCTTAATGGATCACTTTTAGGAAGAGCACAGCAACTGCCAAGATTAGGTTGAAAATCAACAGCCAGTTGTGTGAATAATTCCAGTGTATGTTCCAAAATCACTATCCAAATACCTCAATTTGCCAATGTTGTGAAACACCCGAGAAGAAATGGGACAAATTATTAAATATAGACAACAAATGGGAGAAGAGAGGTGGTCAATGCATTTTTCAAAAACAAATATATTTAGAGCAAGCATTGACTAAAGTGATCACAAGGCCAGTGGCTACTTAACAGGGGACCAAAATGAGCTGAGGTTAAAATGAATCCATTGTTCAGTATAAACATTTTACGTTTAGTAAGTTATCATTACTAATAGTTATCATTCTAGTCTACTTTGCTATCTTTTCTCTTATTATAATATTTCATTATTTTATAATGATTATTAAATAAGAACATATGACCATTTCAACATTTTCTTTTTTAATGCTTTGGGGTTAAAAAACAAATGGAAAGATTAGCATGCTGTACTTCTGTGAAATGGCGCACCCTTGTGGTTCACGACGCATCACAAGCAGTAGCAGCTTTGGTCATGCATATTTTTCCTTTCAGTTACGTTTTAACATTTTATTACTATTACTTTCAATGACAAAAAGAAAAAAGAAAACGTCTGTTAAAATTTCAACTAAACTGTTAAAGTAAATGTATTTTTTTCTTTTGGGGGGAAGTTCTAATAAATCTTTATTTAGCAGAAAGCAAAAGCAAAAACATAAGCCAGTTCATGGATACAACTTTGCTAAGTGTTTAAAGAAATAGTACCAGGAACTTCCACTTTCAGTGATATGCATAAATTAAAAAAATTTATGAAGCTATGAGAGTTCTAATTGTTATAAACTTGTTTTAATTGCAATTAATATTTTATTTGAATTTTAAAACAAAATAAGTAACATTCATTCATAAATATGTTCTGCTGAACTTCATGAATATTTGAATATAAACAATACCAAATCAAGAGGTAACTGTAATTTATAAAAAATACTACCTATAGGTATATAAAAATTAAAAAACACAAGACACATTTAGACAAAGAAATGATTATTCTCTTTAGATCATTCCTCATTAGGCAGTTCAGAGGAATTAACTCTGTGAGTTAGTGGGTTAGTCAGAACACCAGAAGACAGAGGTGGCATAATTCCATTCTGAAAGGATGAGAAGCAAGACTTCACACCAAGATGACTTTGAACTCTGAATACAAGATAAAAATCAGGGTTGCATGACAGATGTGCCAATTTCCATATAACACGAAGTCAATAAATATTAATCAGTTCAAATTTAAAAGCAAGAATATTAAGATTGAAATCATAAAATGCATGTAGCAATTTCCTAGGAATCTCATAAAGTCATGATGGCTTGAAACAGAGTTCTAAAGGCCAGAAGTATAAAATCAAAGCATGTGGCCAGCCATGCTCTCTTAGAAGGACTCCCTCGCCTCCTGTTTACTTAGGTGTTTTTCAGTGTTCCAGTATGGCAGAACACCCAGCAAGGCCCATGTTTGCAAATGGCCTTTGTATTTGGGCCCAATTTAAAAACAAAATGGTGGCACCTCCAAACCTAAATCCATACACACAACCACTATTTCTAAGTCATATTTACAAATTCACAAATTCACAAAAATGGATGCCCTTTCTTGAAGAGTCTAGCAAGCGGGCCTAAGACTACAGATTCAAGTATGGTCAGAACAAAAGATGTGGTAATGGACACAGTAGTATTATTGGAAGGAAGGAAGGAAGGAAGAAAGGAAGAAACAAAGAAAATAAAGACAAAGAAACAAAGAAAGGAAAGAAGGGAGGAAAGGAAGGAGGGATGGATGGAGGAAGGAAGGAAGCTAGCTAGCTATCTTGTAAGTTATAAGGAGACTCTCAAAATGAAGGAAGAGTTAAAAATGAAGAGTGACTAATCACGTAAAATCTGGACATGAGCGTAAATAATAAGTGCTGAGACGCCTAGGAAGGCTTGAGCTCATGCGTGGACACAACTCAACACATGCAGACAAACATAACCCTAGCTTAATCAGTAAGGATTCTGGTAACAAATATACAACAGCAACAACAACAACAAAAAATGGTTCTTTAGCTTCTCTAGGGAAAAACAAATAATTCTGATTCCTGTTGAACAATACATCAAAGAACTACCCAGATGTCCACATCAAAAGACAAAATAATCAAAAAATTGCATAAAGATGTGTAATTTGCCAAAGGCAATAGAAAAAGGAATTACTTAACACAGGGCACCAAGTGGCCACAGAGCCGAGGGTCAGAATCAAGAGAACGGGCTTTCTGTGAGTGCGCTGCTGGCCTGCCTCAGACTTGAAGAGGCAAACGTTAGAAAGACTGCTTGGGAATCGAAGCACACAGAAAGTTCCTGGGAGGGCTTCAGTGAAGACAGCCGAATAGAAAATAATTTCTATACAAAGGAAAGAATACTGTGGAAGCTTTATGAGAGCTTATTACTTTACATTCTTATAGTTTTCGGATAATTAAAATAGAAAATAATCTTCACAAGGCTACCGTTCCTATGAAGAAGTAGAAAGGTGCTACAGACACAGAAGGAAGTCTTTGGGACTAGGCTTCCTTCAGATCTTCCTTGCTTAGCCTCTGCCTGGTTCTTGCTCAGGCCCAAGCATGCTGTATCCCTGACATTCTGGAATCTGAACAGAGTTTTCCACCCAGCTATTGTCTCCCACACACATTTATAAATGAACATAAACCTTGCCTGTTCTGTGAAGCATCATCCGGCTACGGGATGGACAATACCTTGGAAGTTTTTCAGCAAGTGAGTCTTTCAGTGGAAAAAGCAATCACCTTTCTGTTTTATAAAATGAGGTTTTCATGGCATAGCGTTAGCTTTGATAAGAAAAAAAAATGTTTTTAATGAGCTCGTTTCTTTGTTTGAGTTTGCTAACTATCCAAAAAGAAAATAAAAATCATTCAACTTCAATACAGAAACACGACTCAATGTCTAAATATCTCAAAATACATTTTACCTTCAATGTGCATTCAAATTACTCCATGTAACTACAAGAAATAGAATAGGTCATGGTATGCTCAATCACATTTATCTAAATCTCACTTATGCCCCACATGAATAAAGCTATGAATGTATAGATAGTGCTGGATAAATGGATCTTCACAAAAAGATGTAGTCAGGGGAAACTCTAGTATTAAATAGTATTAAATAATTTTATTTTAAGCTAAGGCAGTCTGGTGCGGTGGCTTCGCTGGTAAAGAGGCCAGGGCCTTCCACCAAGCCTGATGACCTAGGTTCAATCCCTGGAACTGACATGCTGGAGGGCCAGAACATACACATATTATTCTCTGACCTGCACATCACACACACACAAACACATACACACACACACACACGTTAGTTTCTTTTTCTAAATTGAGGTTTATGGAAATAAAGGTTTATGTAGAGCACCCCCCCCCCCGAATAGACAATATAAGGAAAACATATTCTGTTTAAAGGCTTGTTTAAAACAAACAACAACAAAAAAAAACAAAAACAAAACAAAAACAAAAAACAAAAAAAAAACACCGCACTGAGAGATCAAGTAGACACCAGGATTTTCCCCAGGGAATCTCAGAAAATACCAAAGGAAACTCAAGAATGGAACATATGGACCAACACGACTGTTTAAAATATATCTATTGAAAATAAGCATTTAATTCCTCATACATGTAACCACTATAGAGATCCTGGCTGGGATGAAGTAAAGCAAGAAAAAAAAAAATCATATATCATGTATTAGCTTGAGGATGAAAACATCTTAAAACTGACATTTATTCAAGGCATGGCAGAAGGATCCCTGATCTTTTTCTATCAACCTTGTAACTACTCTGAGTGCGTACTAATAACTGTTTCTCTCTCAATAGTCTATGTGGAAAAAGACGAATTAAACACAGGGACAACCAATGCCTCCCCAGAGAAACCTGAAAAACACAACAAACTCGGCACACCTTATCAGTGTCGTCCACACTGGTGGATCTCACCACACATGAAGCGCGTCTCTCCTGGCCTTGCGCAGTGCCCTGGGCTGTGGGCATGGGGGGCAGCGGGGCACGCCTCTTCTTGGGCGCGTCGGAGGGCAGTGTGTTGGAGATGTAAGGTTTGGAAATGGTGTTGGATCGCGTAAAAGATGGACGGTGCTTGCTCACCAGCGGAGTCGCAGGCGCACTGGCAGTCTAATAGAAAAGCAAAAGGCAATGCCTGTTTATGATCAAAATAAAAACCACTCTAAAAATCCTTGTTAAGTAAGCATCTTAAAATGCTGCATGAAAATGCTTACTTGTTCCCGCTTTTTCTTACTGCGCTGGAAAAAGCTGAAAATCCCTTTGTTTTCTTTCTCCTTCACAGTGTCTGGGTTGTGTGATATCTGGCAGGACTCTGAAAAAGATGAAAAACAATTTACTTTTTGTTCATGGGTGGAACATTCATTTCCAGTGTTTCTTTTCTAACCTCCCTTTTAAAAGACTTTCTGGTGATGAACACCAGCAGTCACAGCCACTGTGCTATGCTCCATGTGCCTTACTCAAGTCTCAAAGCAACAAGTGGATACAGTTACCACTTTAGAAGAGAAGCAAGTGAAGCTTCAGGAAGCCAAGACACTCGGCCAGGGCCAGGAGACACAGCTAGACAGAGAACTCAGTATCTTAGGCACTGTATAATTACCAGCATTTCAAACGCAAAGTAAGAAGTCTCCACATCACAGAGACACATGACGCTTCTCCCATGAGGCTTGTCCTTTTGTTTATTTCAGCTATAATTTTGGCAGAGCTAAACAACCATGAAGCATTTCACTCTCAAAAACACGAGCCCTTATAATTATAGCTGCCACCCTATCTGCGAGCATGCTTCAATGCATCCAAACAAATCCCATATGGAAAGTGCTCCAAGGAAAATTAGCTCTGTACTGAGCATGTACAGATTTTTTTTCCTTGCCGTCGTTTCTGATGGAAAAGTCACCATAATGACCATTTACAAAGCATTTACAAGGTACTGGGTGTCACAAGTACTCCTGAAATGATTTACTGAATATGGGGTTTGGGCATGCGCACAGACTAGCAAAGTCCTCTGGGAGTCGTACCAAAGGACTTAGGAACCATCCTACAATGGTTTCTAATGGCAGAAATCAAGACCATTTTGATATCGTAAAAGTAATTATCTATAGAAACCTGTCACATGAGCTTAAGGAACTGAGCTCAGATTCTCTGAACTCACAGAAAGCTGGACATGAGCACTTACACCTGCAATCCTACTGCTCCTAACCTGTGGTGGGAAGCAGACAGGAGAGTCACTGGAGGCCTGGGGGCCCTCTAGCTTGGCCTGCACAACAGTAAGAGACCTTGTCTCTTTTGGAATGATGCGGAGTACAATGACCAACATCCTCGGTCTGGTGCCGGCACAGCACAGCACACAAGGTCAGTCCTGTACTGGCATTCCACCCTGTCCTCCACATTCATGCACATAATAAACAAACAAACAAACAAATAAATAAATGACAGTGCTGGCAGTTGAAAGGAGGATTGCATCATGTGACTAGAACCCTTTTCCAGGTCCTTGGTAAGATGCACACAGCGAATGTTGGCGATTGGAGATGTTACTGATGCGGCTGTAAGGAAAAGTATAAATCACTATTTATGAAGGGTACTTTGTTTTGGTTTGTTTTGTTTTCTTTTCCTGAATCAGGAATTTCTCTGTGTAGCTCAGGGTGGCCTTACAGCCCTGGACTTATGCAGTCTTTTTCCTTCACCTCCCAAGGAGCTGGGACAACAGACAAACATTAATTTGGTTCCAAGGAAGTTTTCTTGCCACAGACTATCTCACCCAAACCTGTCAAGTCTCTAGACTGACAGTCAGTTGACAGGGAACAAATAAGCAGGTGAAGTTATACCCACAGGGTGGACAGGACTGATCTGAAACAGACAATGAGGTGAACCATGAGACAAAGGGTCTGGTGTCTTCAGGAAAAGAATTATCAGTTCACAAAAAAAGAGAAACAAGGGTAAACTGTGAAAATACAAATCATAGCGCAGTTTCAATGACATTGGAAACCAAGTACTTCATCTAAAAAATTTTTGAGAGAAAACTTAACTGGGACTTGCAAGTAAAGCTACAATCTTAAATGCTTTTATTTAAAACAGGTGTTTGAAAATAAACATGGTATCAATGTAGAGACTACTACAGGGAAACAAAGAGTGCTCTGGTTTTGTTTTGTTTTGTTTTTTCTGTTTGGATTTTGTTGTTTGTTCTTATTTGCTTTTTAGTCAATTCTACATAAACTACAATCATCTGGAAAGAGGGAATCTCAGTTTAGAAAAGGTTCATCAGATTGCCTTTAGGCAGGTCTGTGGGGCCTTCTGGTTAATAATTGATGTTGGAGGGCCCAGCCTCCTGTGTGTGAGCCAGCCCTGGGGCAGGTGATCTTGGGTTGCATGAGAAGGCAGGCTAGGGAAGTCATGGCCTCTGCTTAGATTCCTGTCTCCAGGTTTCTCCTTGGCTTGAGTTCCTGCCTCTGCCTCCCTTAATGATAGACTGTGACCAGGATGTGTAAGCCAAATAAACCTTCTCTTTCTCAACTTGCTTTTGGTCATGGTGTTTCATCACAGCAATAGAGAGAAAAGTAGGGCCAACACTTAATACCAAAACATGTATTAGTGCCATCTGAGATGGTAATATACTAAAAGAAAACTACATTCCACATATTAAATCTTCAGTACCTCAAACATTAAAGAGGCAGTACATACTACACAAGGACCTTGCTAAGATTAACAAATAACAATAAGCACATAGAGCTTCAAGGCTAAAGGGTTTCCAAATGCTTTATTTCTGAGAACACCCCTGTGAAGGAAGAGACGAAAGTTTCATTCTCAATGATTTTCCTACCATTGGAACATGTTAGTTGTTGGTGTGACAAATGTAAAAAAAAAAAAAAAAAAATCAGCATTCCATCCCATTTACGGCATCAAGTGTCCTGAGAGTGACATAATTTGCAAGTTCATGGATCCACTCAGCAGGTATAACCAGAATATGCCAAATGATGCCTTCAGACATGCAGTCACATTCCTGACTAGGTCAGTCTTCTGACCTCAATGAAAACTGTACATGCAGATGGCAGATTATCAGGGTGAACACTAGGACAAGTGAGGGCCGACGCTTCCTCATTCTAGGAGAGAGGCCCAAAGTCACAGCACACAAAGTCTGAAGGCTGCTGACGACATCCTTCCAAATCAAGCGGTAAAATATATGTATGGTTTGGAAAGACCTGCTGGACTCCGACACTGCAGCATTAGCTGTCCTGACTACACGACCTTAGTCCCTGCAGGTTCCATTCATAGCATTAAGTCTCCGAACAGACATTAGAAATCAATGTACTAAACACCCTGAAGTTGAGCTAAGAAGATCGTGGGATGTGGTTAGGAGCCAGCCAAGTACAAGCATTGTTTCTGGAAGGAAGCAGGGAACACTTCTTCCCATTTCTTGTCATTACAGAGGTAGAATCCAGACATATAAAGCTATTTTCTCTAGAAGCTTGCCACCTTAGCTTAATGACCGATGTAGCCTCAGAATAAAAGAGCTTATTTTCTGGTCCTCTGACAGGATATATGTTAAGGGTAGGAATTTTATTTTGGGGGTTTTATTTTGGTTTGGTTTTGGTTGTTTTCAAGACACGGTTTCTCTGCGTAGCCTTGGCTGTCCTGGACTCACTTTGTAGACCACGCTGGCTTTGAACTCATGGAGATCCACCTGCCTCTGCCTCCCTGAATGCTGGGATGACAGACGTGTGCCACAGTGCCTGGATGAATGATAGAAACTTTTAACTGCTTTGATTAGGCTAGCCTGTAATAGCCACTGAGAATAAAGGAGCATATACTTGCTCTCAAGGGCTTAATCAGAGGAGACTGACAGGATCTAATACACACTTTAACAAGGTTTTACTTTTAGGTACGGCAGTAACAATTATACATATCCATGACCAGAGGCTATCCTTTCTCAATGAAGAAAAAAAAAAAAAAGGCTCCCAGATTCTATTACTGAATAATTCTAATCAAATCTTCCCTATGAAAGCAACATATCCATTATAAATCCTATAATATAAAGAAAAATGAGAACTTGCTCACAGCCATACTACTCAAAGCTAATCCTTATTAAACATTTTATGTATTTCCTTTCAGAAATTTCATGTAGAAGCTTTTTTTTACATAGAGTACTAAATGCCTTTTTAAGCTGCTAAAGCTAATCTTAACAAAAATTTTCATGTTATTACCAAATTCTCACAAAAACTAAATGGTAGGGAAAAAAAAAGTGCTGTGATAAAACTTCAAGTGCCACCTCTCCCAGTCGCTGCTCAGTGAGAATTAAGCTCATTACCCCCCACCCCCGCACAGTACCACCAAAGTATTCGTTTACACTCAGGTCCAAGCATGATCCTACCAAAATCTATTTTTTCTTATATAAGAGTGACAGATCCATTTCCCCACACTTTTACCATGACATTTCTTTATGTATCGTTTTTTAGTGCCTGAGAATTTTTTCCCTATGTAGCTCACATTGGCCTCACACTTGGAATCCTCCTGCCTGCCCCCACGGGTGCTGGAACTGTAGATTTATACCATTACTCCCAGCCCTAGAACGACATCGTTTATCAGCGTACTGTTGAAATGAAATCATTGCAATTAGAACCAGAAATCAAAGACAGAAACCCATATTGCTTTTTAAGGAAATGAACCCCCAAGATTTTCCTAAGTTAAAATTTCTTACAGAATGTGTTAGTAATGTTAAAAAATAATAATAGTAAGATTTGAATCTCAGTTTTAATCCTCCCCGTTTCGTGTTATAGTTTACAGTTTCTACCGATTCAAGTATCTTACCTTGGAAAGATGGCTTACTGAAGGCAGTAACAGAGGGGGCTACAGCAAGAGGGAGCAAAAAAGGGTAAATAACTATGATGACGATGCCCGTTAACTATTAAATATCACTGAGTCAAGCAGCAGTCTGTGGAAAACGCTACATAACCATCTCAGGATAACCTCTGAAATTCCCTGTGCAGTAGGCATCAACTCTCTCCTCCACTAAGCCCTGATCTTCCCCCAGGAAAAGAGAGCCAAACTTGGGTATCTAAATGTGTCTGCACAAGGCAATTTAAAAAAACAAAAAACAAACAAACAAAAAAAAACAAACACATATAAGACCTCAATGTGTTAATATATCAGCTCTTTTTATGAACTCTACTATCTGGAAAATTTGGGGAAGTATTTCTGATTCAGGCTTATTTTGGATGCTGACCTAAGAAAAGCATTTGGCAAAAAAAAAGTTCAAACCTGAGTGACAGCTAAGCCTCATACAAATTATACCGAGTCGTCATAAACTAACTATGACTTCATTAGAACAGTGATGGACCTGCACAGAAATACTTGGTTTATTTAAATCTAAAGGGCACAAGAAATTAAGATAAATCTCACACCAAAAGCTAAACAAGGTAGCCCAAGCCTATCATCCAAAACTGCTGAGACAGGAGGATTCCTTGAGCTCAGGCACCCTGATGAGACCTGATCCTCATCACATACACAAAAACAAACAAACAAAACAAACAAAAAAAAAAACAAAGAAGAAAAGAAATGCACAGCTACAAAAAAATAAATAAAATTCCTAGGTTGACAGAAAAATATAAAATGTGATGGCAGCCAAAAAAAAAAAAAAGGACTGGCTTTTCTTATTTCAGTAACCCTTAACAAGTTAAATTACATACTTGGTTTGATTTATTTTTTTAATTATTTCTTTCTATTTAATTTTTTTTTCCTTATCCCCAATAGGTTGTATTTACTTCTATCTATATGGTTGATCCATTGTATCCTTGGCATTATGAAGATGGGAGCACCTATCTACACACACACACACACACACACACACACACACACACACACACACGAAGGGGGAAGCACACTTACCTCTGCTGATATCCATGGCATATAACTCCCTTAGTCCCAAGTCATTAAGAGATTTGGTCAAGTCGAGGGGCTCCTGAGCCTGGTAATCCTTCAACAACACTGTGTGCAGAGGATCAAACTCACATTTACTGCATATGATCGGAGCAAGATCTTGCAGCGGTGCGTGCGGACTCACTCTCACTATGGTCTTCTGTGTTTTCTTAAAGTTGATCACTACCCTCACAGTTTTCTGAAACGTGAATTAGAATTAGACACACAGTTACAACATAATTTAGTTCCTCAAATAAAATTTCCACAGTGGCGCCTAGAATGACAACTGGAATAACTGACTCTCAGCTCTCTGCACCATGAATTAAAGCCAGGGTCAACCCACAGGTCACTAATTAAAACAAACTGCGCAACGCTACCTGAGTACTACTCAAGGCTTTATGTTTCCTCAGCAAACAGTTCTTTCTATTCTTTTCTTCTTCTGGTGTAAAATTTTCTTTTATATTAATGCTATTTCCTAATTTTAAAACTAATTCATTAGATGTACAGATTTTAGTGGGTTTATTCTATGTTGTATGTTTATATGAGTGAGTATATACCGTGTGTGTCTTTCTGCTTCTGGGACAGCTCACTCAGGATGATCCTCTCCAGGTCCCACCATTTACCTGCAAATTTCATGATTTCCTTATTTTTCATTGCTGAGTAATATTCCATTGTGTAGATGTACCACAATTTCTGCATCCATTCTTCAGTTGAGGGGCATCTGGGCTGTTTCCAGCTTCTGGCTATTACAAATAAAGCTGCTACAAACATGGTTGAGCAAATGTCCTTATTGTGTACTTGAGCCTCTTTTGGATATATGCCTAGGAGTGGTATGGCTGGATCTTGAGGAAGCACTATTCCTTAGTTGTCTGAGAAAGTGCCAGATTGATTTCCAGAGTGGTTGTACAAGTTTACATTCCCGCCAGCAGTGGAGGAGGGTTCCCCTTTCTCCACATCCTCTCCAGCATGTGTTGTCACTTGAGTTTTTCATCTTGGCCATTCTGATGGGTGTAAGTTGAAATCTCACTAATCAAGAGAGACGACCCTGACTATAATGCTCAATCCCCATCCCGAAAGGCAAAGAGGAAGGACATCAGAAGAGGAAGGAAACAGGAAACAAGCTAGAAACCCGCCACAGAGGGCCTCTAAAAGGCTCTGCCCTGCAGACTATCAAAGCAGATGCTGAGACTTATGGCCAACTGTTGGGCAATGCGCATGGAATCTTATGTAAGAAGTGGGAAATAGTAAGATTTGGAGAGGACAGGAACTCCACAAGGAGAGCAATAGAACCAGAAATTTGAACACAGGGGTTTTCCCAGAAACTCATACTCCAACCAAGTACCAGGCATGGAGATAACCTAGAACCCCTGCACAGATGTAGTCCATAGCCGTTTAGTGTCCAAGTGGGTTCCATAGTAATGGGAAGAGGGACTGCCTCTGACATGAACTGATGGCCTGCTCTTTGATTACCTCCCCCTGAGGGGGGAGCAGCCTTACCAGGCCACAGAAGATTACAATGCAGCCACTCCTGATGTGATCTGATAGACTAAGATCAGAAGGAAGGAGAGGAGGACCTCCCCTATCAGTGGACTTGGGGAGGGGCATGCGTGAAGAAGGGGGTAGGAGGGTGGGTTTGGGAGGGGAGAAGGGAGGGGCTTATGGGGGGATACAAAGTGAATAGAGTGTAATTAATTTAAAAAAACTAATTCAAAGAAAACAAAAATCAGTTTTTTTGTTTTGTTTTACTATTTTTAATGGTCCTGAGGATTGAACCTAAGGTTTTATTCATGTTAAACAACTAGTCAATTACTACGCTGTGTCCCTGATCCTCTTTCTAATTTTCATATTGATACAGGGTAACTCTAAGTTCTCCTGGCTGGACTTGAACTCAATCTATAGACAAGGTAGGTCTTGTGGACTTATGATCCTTTTGTACAGGGCCTAGCTCAATCTGTTTCTTAAAATATGTAAATTCAAAATTCCATTAAGACTGCTTTTATTTTTATGTGTTTATTTATTTTTTAAAAAAAGGTGGTAGTGGGTGTTGAGACAGAGTTTTTCTGTGTATCCCTGACTGTCCTGCAACTTGCTTTCTAGACCAGGCTTGCCACAAACTCACAGACCCTCCTGCCTCTGCCTCCCTGAGTGCCAGGATTGTAGGCGTGTGCCACCACACCTGGCTCCAGCTAAAATTCTTGATAATAAAATACTAAGCAGATTTAAAGTCAACAAAAAAAAAGGCTCATATGCAGTATTACTAATATTTCTACATTGTGTATTAAAGCATTTATTTTCAAATCATCAAATATACACAATAATAATATATGTTTTACATTGTCCTTTATTTAAAGAATGTTTGTTAAGAACCTGTCAATAGCTCCAATAAAAAAATTTTCCAAGACTAATATCCTTATAACATAATCAGTGGGATGAAATATACTAAGAGCCTAGTGTCACGCCTGGCACAGACCCCGTTATCAGTGACAACATATTGTCATTGATGTTACTCTATGTACTATTCTCATCCCAGCTAACTCTAATACAATAGAAAAGTATCAAAATCACCCTTAATTAGAACTAGTACCATTGATATTTAACACTTAATCAAATATTAAAGCCAGTGTTTTATCATGAAATCCCTGTCAACATTTTTATTAAATGCATGTAAACAGTATGAAGACACTGCAAATGTGCACATTCAAGCCAAAGGATGTGAACTACCAATTCAGGGCACAAAGTTTTATAAATTTTACAAAGTGAAAAATGGTTGATGCTCATAACTCAGGAGAATTTCTTTTGAAGTCGTAAATGCCTATGCTTCTGTTTATAGCAATAACTTTATGAGAATAATTTTAAGAGAAAAGAAAGTGCTATGGACATCAGCTCACTTGAAGAACGTTTGCCTAGAAAGAATGAGGTCCTGGGTTTGGTCAAATACATAAATAAATAATGGTAAGAATATCAACTGAATAAATTACCATCATTGTGGCTCAGTTTCTGCTTAAAATTCATACATTAAAAACATAAGGATCTGAACAGATGGCTCAGTGGTTAACATAACTTGTTGTATAACCATGATCCATCTAACAAGCCAGGTACGGTTTCACAAATGCCTACAACCCCAGAATTGTGGGGACCAGAGACAAGTAGAGATTGGTGCTTGCTGCCCTGGTTCAGGGAAAGATCCTACCTCAAAGGAATAAGTCAGATAAAGAAGGAAATGCTATGTCTCTTTTCGCCTCTAAACATAAACCACACACACAAATATATATATATGAAAAGAGAAAAATGAACTACTATATAGAATAATAAACTACGATCTAGGTGTATGTTGCATTAGTGACTTACAAAATACGCAGAAGTCAAATATGATATTAAGTATTCATTAATTTTTAAATATCATTTAAATACAGAATTTTAAAGCATAACTTATATAGCACGTGGATTATTGTAGGATCCTATTGTAGTCAAACCATTCATTTTTTTTTTAGAGCATCAGATATCTAAATTGTCCCCCCAATTCTAGTTGACCCTAGAATGAAGAATCAGCTGATGACAAAGTGTTTTAGGAAAACATGATAACCATATTCCATAAAAGCCAGACCCGAAATCTAATTTTTATTTATGAAGAACCATAAACATTGGCTAAAAATTTAAGAATCTCAGCCATAAGGACATCAAAATCAGCAACAGAATCCTTACCTCTGGGATTATAGGTGTAGGCTTTTTCTTATCCAGAGATTTTGGCTTTAAAATCACCTTCTCTACCTCCAGCATTCCTACTGGTGTGTTTGGCTTAAATTTGATGAGGGTCTCTTCAGCAGACAGTAAATCAATTGTGTGACTTGATGGATTCAAGTGATACTGTGCGCAGAGGAACACGAGCAAGTCCATCATCGGCTTGCTGGAAAACAGGAAGAATGGTGTTTTTAGGTCCAACTCAACAGACAGTGAAACATGGTTTGAGAATTCTACTCTGCTCCTGTTTGTCTTCAAAACATAAAGCAAGGCTACAAAGAACTATGAGAGTAACTCAAAAATCTGGTAATTAGGAAGAGCAAATCTCTACAGATTAAAGGCAGTGGTTAGAATATTTGAGATCTCAGATGCTAGCAGTGCTTCAACCATTGTCTACATACTTTTATTTGCTAAAGTTTTTTTTTAATGTTATAAATTATACGCATCCTTCCTAACCCAAGAATAGTCACTTGGCTTAGCAACCAAGCCTCAATATTATAACTTACTGTCCTTAGCTCATGAATGGACTACATTCCAAAGTCTCATAGAACAAAGTACGACCTTTGGGGGTTTAGACAGAAAGGAGGTGGACATGGAGGTAGGAACATAGGTAGGAAGAAAGGAAAAAGAGGGAGAGAAACTGTGTGTGTGCATATATGTTAATGAACAAATATATAAGGACATCAAACTTCTAACAAATCCTGTGAATTCTTAAATTATTCACAGAATACTTATTCAGTATTTCCTAGGTTCTACCGTCATTACGCAAGTATTATGACATGCCTGTCCTGAGAGATCAAATATTCCGTTTGACAGACTGAGCTACACATTAGCAAATATACTTTGCTGTAAGTCCACCTGCTCCACGCCTAGGCTGAACTCAACTCACTATGTAACCCCATCCAGGCCTCAGACCTGTGGTTCTCCTGCCTCAGTCTCCCTAATGCCAGGATTACAGATGTGTAACACAATGCCTGCTTTATATTTCTGCTTTTCAAACTGAGGTTTTTAGGGCATATCCTGCCTACTTGTTAGGATAATATCCCGGCTGCTTTTCATTATAAGGGCAGAGTGAGGTAAGCATGGCCTAAAATGTCTAATACTTTTACTATCTGCCCCTTCATATAAAAAGTTTATGGGCCCTTGTGTAAAGCAATAGAAGGAAATGTTTGAGATTGTATCAAATAATGGAGAGGAGAATGCAGAACTGATGTCTATACCAGAAAAACTTGAACAGGATTCTTGCACAGCCAGCTTGGCATTCAGTTTGAAACTTCCCTTTCCACGGACACCAAATGCCAATACATAGTTAAGTTTTCATTCACATCAATAGAACACCATAGTCTTGTCTTTCTTAACGGTCAAGCATTTTAGAAAAGCAAATTACAAACTCTTTTGTAGTGCATGCTTTTCTCCAATGCCTAGTGATCCTAAACCATTCACACTTAAGACAAAGGCATTAGAACAATATATGGAAGTCTTGTTTTTCATTTCATAGGCGGAGGTGGAGCTTCAGGGACTTCGCTTTAGGGAAATCTGTGACCAGCCTCCCTCCTCTTTTTTTGGGAATGCAAATGCCCAAATGATGTTCTACTTATTCAACCTGAACGTAGCTACTAGATTTCAGGAGCTTGACAGAGAAATGAGGCTTGGAAACTCACCATGCAGTTTTCCTTTCAAATTCAGTACATACTGCTTCATACAGGGCCCACCCCACTGTCTGTCCTCACAGCAGCACCAGTCTATGACCGCTTTGATTTAGTTTTCCAAGAGAATCAGTCTCCTGTAGGAGAGTTGAAGGGCCAGTTGTCACCATGTGAACCTGAGGTGACATGCCACTTTACCTAGACTTTCAAACCACCCCCTATAATCAGCTTGGCATCATGCCCAGGCCATTCCAACCTCCATGCAATGAAGAGGTATACCTCCCTCCCTGACACCCAGTCTGTGGACTGAAGCCAGGGCCTTATACTACACCCATCTCACAAGAGGTTTATTTTTAATGGCATTGCTCCTCTCCTCCAAGTGCAAGCCGGATTCCATCTCACAATAAATGACTACATCAATGAGCAACTGAACACTGCAATCTGCAAAGCCTGGATTAAGAGAGATAATAAACAAATATATATATAAATACACACACACACACACACACACACACAGAATCTCATCCATAACTGCTGGGGTAGGGAGGGTGTGAGGGGAACACCTTAACTGGAAAAGGGCATGAGAACAGATTTGGAGAGAACCAGTTATCCAGGGAAAGTTCATGTGTCAGATCTCCCTGTGATGCCAAGGCTCAAGGCTGTGCATGCAGCATTTAAAAACAGTAATCGTACAGTGTTTCTAAAAGCCTTTCAGGGGAAGACCTGAGGTTTTACAGAGTGAGATTTAAAAGCGTGTAAGAACAGGTGGAACGCTATAACGAAAGTTCGTGTAGGAAGCTTAGCATATACCTATAAGGTTGGCAGTTTGGAGGCCTGGACTAAATACTGAGGGGCGAGAGAAGGAGAAAGGGTGAGGAGAGTGGGAATAAAACACTTGAGAATTTACCAAAAGTCACTAAGAGGACCATATATCTCTTGGCAATTGTGACAGGGGCTCTGGCCAATTTGACTCAGGAACCGTGTAAATGCAGGCGTGAACACACTCTGGCAGGACCCCTCCACCCGCTGCCCCAGCTTTATTCCCAGACATGAATGGAGGCACAGAATGAAGGCAGTGCTATTACATGAGGACTTCAGAGGAGCCAGCCAATGGCTTTTCCTCCTGGGCAATTCTACTACAACAGCAATGTCAACATGTACACACACACACACACACACACATACATCAAGATACCACTGAGGTCTGTGTGTACTGACTGGTACAAGGGGAAACAGTTGTTGAAGGGAAAGTCACATACTTTCAGGAAAAAAAAAATGTATTAAAATTTTTCTTAACAAATCCGCATAGCGGCCTTGTTTTATGTAAAGCTGCGCCATCAACGGTAAAGAGCTAGTATCTTTTCCAAACGTAGCTTCAGACCATGTTTTTTTCCAGACCATTTATTTGAAAGGGTAAAATACATGAGAAGCCTCAGCAGTTGACACCAACCTCCTCCAGCCTTTCTCTCAAACAGAAGGCTAGGATTCACAATGCAGCTCACACACTGTAAGGTAGGACTTCAACTCCGAAGCAGGAGCTACAGCCAGCGGCCACCGCTAGAGCTTACCAGTCACATAATGCTCCCACAGAAAGCAAAGTCAGGCCTTAAATATGGGTGAGGATTATCCACCTGAGTACCAGAGCACTTTTGCCAAAGATGGCAACTGATGTGGCTGACTGCAGGTAGCTAGCAGGTTTGGCCATGAATTACCACAGGGAAAAAAAAATGATATTTTCTATAGCCCAAGGTGGGAAACATCTGACACCCAAGGCAAGTTACCGAAGTGTTAGGGAGCTATGCGCTGAACTGCCACCATCTCACTGGCGTGTATATTGCCTCTTCCAAAGCTTACTGCCCCAGCACTGAGTTCTCATTTGTCACAGTAGCTAGTGGCAACATTAATATTATTATTGTCTTAGAATTATTATTAATAGTTACAGGCCATTTATATAATGATTTCCTGCAGGGCATATTTAAAGAAATTTAAAGCAGCTAATGTAAAACACAAAACAAAACAAAAAATAAAAACAGAAGTCTTTAAAAACTCTGACATATAGGAATCCCTGTGAGATTTCCAACTTGTCATAAACAATCACCTTTTGTATTTAATTCCGGTCTATTATTTCATTTGAACTCACATCTACCATGAAAGCTATCCTACTTTATAAACGAAACAAACGAGGTTTAAGAAATCACATTACAGACACCGCCTATAATAATCATTTGGATTAGAATGTCCTGACTCTCCAATCAAGCGTTCCCAGCTATGTTTAGCATCCTCATGATTCAAGCGAGTGTCCGTGGTGGTGAAATGGGTGGTTTAGAACAGGCTACCTGCTCTTTGCTACGCTTTCACTGTGCAGATTAAAGACCTCATCAAATCCTTTCTAAGTCCTCTGGGACCCTTTCTGTATCTGGGACACGGAGTAGTAGTAATCTTAACCTGGTTTTTGATAATGGATGGTTAAAGCTTCTATTTCTGTGTTTTAAAGATCCAACTGGATATCAAAAGATACAGGTCACGATGCAATAAAGGGCTCCAAGTACAGCTAGACGGGCAAAAACAACATAGGTGGATTTCCAAGCCTCCCCATGTTTAAACAAGGCCACTTGCCAACAGGGTGCCTAGGTAATTTTTCCCTCAATCTGGGACAGCTGAGAGCAAAAGTAATGGCTCAGGGATAAAGGGCACTGACAGAAACACCCTTGAAAATGGGAGCACATGACAATAGGTGAACAGATTCATTTCAGGCAACACAGAAATAAGTAGGAGTCTTCCCATGAATTTTTTTAATCTGCTCCAGTCTCTAACAATATATCATATGTAATTTCAACAAATCCTCAAAACTCTGTGGAGCTGTGAGTAACCCTCCCCGATCCAAATGAATTTAGAGACGAAACAGCGCTAACTATTGTGTATCCAATATGGAAAACACATTGCGATGTGGCTTCAGGAAGGCTCAGCTATGCTACAAGAAACTAGGAGACTAACACAAAGCAGCAAGAGCTGAAGACAGATAGCACTTGAACAGGCCATCGCTAAGTTGTAAAACGACTTCATATCAAATACTAAAAACAGAAGAGTAAGAAATGCTTCGCCTGTGTCCGCTCTCTTGATTATCTTCTTTAGGTGTGTAGATTTCATTATGTTTATCATGTCTTGTAGGTCTACATAAGCGAGTATATACCAAGTTTGTCTTTCTCCTTCTGGGATACTTCACTCAGAATGATCTTTTCTAGATCCCACCACTTGCCTGCAAATTTCATGATTTCCTCCCTTTTGATTGCTGAGTAGTATTCCATTGTGTAAAAATACCACAATTTCTGTACCCATTCCTCCGTTGATGGACATCTGGGTTGTTTCCAAGTTCTGGCTATTACAAATAAAGCTGCTACGAACATGGTTGAACAAATGTCCTTGTTGTGTACTTGAGCAAATTTTGGGTATATACCTAGGAGTGGTATAGCTGGGTCTTGAAGGTGATTAATCCTCATTTAGAAAGACAAATGGGATGTGC